TTTGGAGAATTATCATGAATTTCATGATCCACCCTCAGATCAGATTCTTGTTGATGCTGTGGAATAGTGCCTCTCCTTTCATTACTTTTTAATGAAAGAATTAGGGAAGGGAGTAAGGTCCGAACAATTATTCTCCCAAAACCCTATTGCCGCCAACTTCTTCATCTTCTCTCTTTGCTGCTGATATCTAATCCTTTTCACAACTTTTTAAATCAGTCCTCTCATTCTTTTGGATCGTTTTTCTTCTGGCTCGTAACCCTTCTTACTCTGGAGAAGACTTTTGATAGTATAGGTATGTCACTGCTACCTAAAATCTGGGCACACACTGGTTCAAATTCATACCTCAATCCGGAAAAAAAACGTGCCCCATCCAACTGATCTCTCTGTTGTTTTTGCACTTTGAGATCAATCGAAAGAGGCTGATACAAATCCAACTCATTTTGCAAACTCTTCAAGCAAGCATAGTACTCTTCCACACTCCTATCACCTTGCTGTAGTTGGAAATACTCCTGATACAATTGATAGATTCTAGTTACATTGTCTTGTCTAGAATACAACTACCTAGCATGTTCCCAAATTTCTTTTGCAGTATCAAAGAACATCAGGTTCACACTGATAAGAGGTTACTATTCCAAAGACATGTCATAATCTGTGCATTCTCCTGGATCGAATCATCATACCCTGCAGCTCTTGGGTTCTGGTTTGTTTTCTTTAATATATTTTAACTTTCCTCTCACCGTCAAATGTACCTCCACCGACTTCACCCATGGTACATAGTTGGTACCATTAAGTTTAACCGACATCATTTGTACAGCCATGAAATCAGGTTGTACCATCTCACTTGTTTTGTATTCACTGCCAGAGATAGCCATCAATTACTTCTGCAACACTCTCCCAAGACGAACACCTTCCCGACTCAACAACAGCATTCAACCGACTTAACTATTGGTTTTGAAACTTCACAGCATAGCCGCAACCCCTAAACCTGGTACATCAGAATAAAAATTTCTTCTATGTGTCAACCAACCTCCCGATTCCTAGAAAATAACCCACCAAAACATCAACCACAAACAACAATCAGCTGAATTTCACATTCACAGTCCCTCTTCGAACTGCCGAGTAGAGGGAGTCTAAACCACCATCAAACAGTCGACTAACGATGCAGCTTGAGGCATAGAAGCCTCTTAACCTTCTGGGCGATCARTCCTTTCAGGTTTTTCCCCTTCCTCTCTTCTCATATTGGTATAAAATCTCAGCCGAACCAGTTACAGGCGTCCTTCACTGATGCAGTCAGGAAACTCGATCAACCAGGCTCTGATACCATGTTATCAGGCCTGTATTTAATTAAATAAATAAAAAAAGGAAGCTTCTGAGCCTAGAAGGGGAAGAGATGGAGAAGAAGAAGAGAAGAAGAGAAGAAGTCGAACAGAATGGGGCTTCACAGTCTCAAATCGAAAAAGAGAACTGCCACCCAGTGTGTTTAATTCATAATAACAAGTAAAATTACAATACTACCCCTGTATACAAATGCTTGAGAATAGAGACAAAAAAACACTGATTTAAAGAAGAGAAAAGACTAAAATAACCCTAGAACAAAGCTGTATTTTAACAATCATGTAACTGGCAAAAAAAAAATCCTGTGGGACTTGATATGTATCACCCAGCTGTTGGCTCCTGATAGTCCTTGGATCAAGTTAAATGTGGATGGTTCCTTTTTTCAGAGCGATAGGAGTGCAGATTATGGAGTGGTTGCTTGAGATGCTTAGCTTGTCTTTTGGTAGGTGCAATGTGAATTCAGTCATTCAAGCAGAATGGAAAGTGACTGTGAAATCCTAATTAAACTTATTGGCAGCGATGGACAGAACTTATTTTTTGATAGATTGCAATGGGCAGAACTGCCCAATAGATTTGATCTTCTTGCTTCAGTATATTCTTAAGCTTGCTAATGCTCAAAGTTGTAGTCTTTTCCTTGGGACCTACCAACTTACCTGCTCCTACTTCTCGGAAAATGAATGCGGGTTTGTTTCTTCTCCACAGGACCTACCGACTTACCTGCCCCTACTTCCCAGAAAACAAATGAGGCCTAAGGATTACATTAAGATTAGATGGTAGAAAAATGAGAAGTTACATTCCAGACAAATATGGCTAACTGCAATGGTTAACAATTAATTGGATTGCCCAAGTTATCCATTGAAATATGAAAGTCATATCCTACTCCATTTGGAGTTTTCTATATCAGTACTATATTTCCCTCAATATTATTAGTCCCAAGTCCTGAACATCTTGGTAGTGGCTTGTTATTTTAAGTGTTATTTTTGTCAGTTGATATATGTCTGTAGTTCAACTAGGATATGTAGTTTAGTGAACTTTTAGATTTATAAATTACATTTTGTGTTAAATTTCTTTATGATTGTGGTAATTGTTTGTTTTTCTAATTTTCTCTTTTCATGTTCACAGGATAGAAGCAAATGGTTTAAGCAACTTGTAAGTAGTGATTCCTTAATACTTATGGTCATTTCTCGCTTTACTTTTTAGTATTTAGGTTTGGTTTTCCTCCTCAGAAATATATGTGGTTTTTCTCTGAACATGTGTGCACAATTGTCTGTTCTTATATGATCGTTGAAAGAAAGCAAAATGTTTTATCTGGCATCAAAACATTGAAAAAATTGCTTTTTATTCTTTGCTTCTATATGTGTGTTATTTTTCAGTCTTGGGAAGAAGCAACTGTTAGAGCTCATAACCAAGGAACCCTCATCCTTCTTGAAAATTTGGATCCATCCTATACATCAAAAGAAGTAGAGGTATTTATGATACATGTCCAATTCAACATCTTTAGAGGTTACAGATATTTGCTTGGGTATTTTTCTGAAATTTTGATAGTTCATCTTTCGTTTTTGCTTCTATTCTTAAATAACAGGTAAATTGATAAGTTGTTGAAGTTTTTGTTAAGAACAAGTTCATGTTCTCACAAAAGCTTTTCAAATGCATAATGAACACAGACTCTGGAACTTTTCTAGAATATACAGCTTAAGAAAATTCTTTCTCTATAACCATAAGAGCCATTACCCATTCTCAGACTTGAACCCATGTTCCCACACTTGTCAGCCTAGGATATTACTATCGCACTAAGCAATGGATCCTTTTCTCTACAGTTATAGCATGCTGTAAAATTCTGAAGTTTGTATTTACTAAAAAAATTTTAATTATTGTTTTGTTACTGATAAAAATCAATTATTATTTTATATTTTATTGTTGAAAGCCTGCTAATTAGTTTCCAATATTTGTGGAATTCTAATAGGCTTATCTTTGTAATTTGGTACTGCTTTGCTAGTTATAGGACTGTCAGTGGATTAGTTCATTATCTTACTAATGTTGGTGAAAGGAATACATACACGGTAACAGTTATTTCTAGTGTGCTTAGATTAGACCTATTGGTTTGTCTAGACTTCTGGTAGATGCTTCCAGGTTTAGAATTCAGCTTAGCTATTTAATATATTTGAGGTTTAGTGGTCTTCACAAAGCATTGGGGTGACAAGTGTAAAAATGCAGATTCAAATCTGAGAGCAGCCACTTTGTGCAAAACAGCCAAAGGTCAGGACCGTATCCAGTCCACCCTTCTCTAGACCCTGGGTAGGATGAACCAACATTTGCTTATGACCTAGGTCTTTTCAAAGACATGTCACTAGGGATAATTTTATACTTGCTCAGGTGCCCTTGAAAAAGGGCAGCCCAGTGCATGAGGCTTCTGCCAATGCGAGGTATGGGGAGGGACAGATGTATGCAGCCTTACCCTGATACACAGAGAGGCTGTTTCCTATATTTGAACCCTGGTCACTCAGGTTACTATGGAGTAACCTAACCCTTAAAGTTGATTTTAAAGGAATTGGGTAAGTTGTGAAAGTCCTCTCCTCCCTCTATCATGCCTCTATCTTTTACATCCATGTTGGCTGGAAATGACTTAGCTACTTGAATAGGATATAGCAGTTTTCTGGGATCTATGTAGCATGTCTATCTCTAGAGGCCTACTTTTGTAGTTTTCACTTTTGTCTTCTTTATCCTTTTTTTTTTCAGGATATAATTCAGCAGGCCTTTGGCGAAAGTTGCACTGCAAAGGTGATACAGCGTGGTACATTTTCTAGCCCACATAATGGTAATCTAATCAAGACTTCACTGCATGCAATAATTTATTATGTGATTCTTCTTGTTTATTGAGTGATTTAGTTCCTTAATTTATAATAAGTGGTTTGGTTCCTTGGTTCTCTATTGGCATTCAAACATTCAAGCATGATGATGATCCTTTTGTGTCTTAATAATAATAATAATAATAGGTCAGGCATTGGCTATATTCAAAAAAAGAGATATGGCAGATATGGTAGTTGCCAAATTAAATAGAGGCTGCTTCATGCTCCCAAATGGAAGGTGCCTTTCTTAGCTTACTCTGTTGATTAATTTTGGAAATTTCTCTTCTAGTAATTATTTTGTCTTTTTCCTAATTTCATTCTGTTATATTTTGTAATCCATGTTTCATCATCTCACAATAATATTTGCTATTTCATTTAATTCAGAATCCATTTGGGAGGACTTCAGCTTTGATTGAGTTGTGTTGGTGTAAAATTTAAGGAAATTCTTATGCAAAACAATTCAGTCAATCAAATGATTGAGTTCTTTTTTATTGGGGGGCGGGGGGTAAGGTCCATTCAGGGCATCACATGGATGGTTCCCCTTAATTATATCCCTGCAAAGGGGCAGAGAAAACCTTTTGATTCTGACATGGAGACAAATGAAAAAATGCAGAATTCTTAAGAAGAGAGTACGTTTACATTTCTTTACATATCTTGACTTAACAGGAATGCGAAATAAAAAATATAATTGAGAAATTTTACAGCATCACATTCTCTCTCTCTCTCTCTCTCTCTCTCTCTCTCTTTTGTACGAACATTTCCTTTTTCTCCAATCTTCATATCTGCATTTCAAGGGTGCATAATCAGTTGTTGTAGAACAAGGTTGTAGACAGCTTAATCTCTACCCTGCTTTGGTAGAGGAACCTTGATCAACCAAGTAGAAGCACTCAGTTGTAGATGATTTCTTTTCTTCTACTTCCTTTCTCACAAGTAAAAGTTAGAAATTGAGTAAAAAGAGAGAAGACTTTACTTTGCCTACCTGCGAGTGTGCTCTCTTTTTGCCCCCCCCCCCCTCTCTCTTCTATGGACTTTATTAAGAGTCTCTAAGAGTATGCATGCCTAAGAAAAAGGCCTGGAAAAGGAAGAAAAAGGATTTCTACAATTTGGGTAGGAACCCCAAGAAGCTATTGCTTGACTGATCCAGCTATAGAGCCTGTCATTCTATATGGTGTGGTTCTATCAGCCCTAAAAACCTCTCATTTACAAGAATAAAAAATCTACTAATCTTGGGTTCTCAATTGGTAGTTCCATAATTTCCGTCTTATTTGAGTTGATTTTGCTTGGTTTTAAACAATGTTCGGAGAACTGGACCAGGCATAGAACCAGAAAAAGGGAGAGGTTCATGAGTCAGAGGTTCAACCATGGTCAGGTTAGGAAGGGTCTTGAGACTTAATTGCAAAAATTGCAGATTTGTCCTAAAACAATGAAAGCTTTGAAATGAGGAAAATAGACTTAGGACAGGAATTTTCAATATAATTTTGTAGATAATTTTAATTGATAGTTGCAGAGGGTGAGAGCCTTCTCTATTACATCTTTTGTATTTCTCTATAAAATCATCTTTTCATCTATGCTTGCTTTTTGGAGCTCCAAATAAAATCCAAATAAAATTCTAATTCAGACCAACCTTCTTAAAAGGATTTTGACCTATGAACTCCAAGTACCAAACCTCTATGTTTACATTCATTGCTTTATGGATGCTTAATCCTTAAACACTGCATTATTTGGTTTTGCTTTGCTTGCAGGCCATTGATTGGAAGTAAAGGAACTTTAAGGAAGCCTAGTAAAACAGCCAAATTTGTGGGCCATCTAGTCATTGAAAAACTCAAATACCAAAAGCAGCCAGAGGAGGTGGTGGTTGCCTGGCCTCTTATTACTTGCTTTTCTGGATATAATGTTGTTAATTTGTTATATTTGTCCTTAATATTGTTTTTTACCCTCATCTCAGAGAAATGCAGTTTCCACATCACACTTTTCCCAGCCTAACACTATAGAATATGATATGGCTGTAGAATGGTGCTTGTTGATGGGTCAAGCAGACTTGTGGTGGAAGGCCTTGTATCAGGTGCAATTAGAAGCTAACTGAACTCCAGGCCTCCCTTTTCTTTCTTGCATGTGACATCATTTTTCTTTTTTGTCAACTGGAGTTTGTAACGCATTTATAGCTTTATAGAAACATGAAGAGGAATTGGAAAGCATCAAGAGCCAGCTAAAGACTCGATGACTATGAAATATAAGCTTCTGGTAAGCCCTCGCATGCCCAGACCGACTTGTTTGAGACTTGAGAGCTCAAGTTTTTGTTTGTCTTGAGAGGTCAAGTTTTGTGCCTTCATTTTCTTCAGATTCACATTTTTTTGCCGGCATGTTTTGGATGAGAGAAGAATGATGAGATACGGGTCCCTATTCTTTTGCTTTTACATTTGGAGGAAAGAGAGGGATAAATTGTGCATTTTGTATAGGTATCATGTTCTGCTGACATAGAGGATTCCAACAAAAAAAAAAATTGTACACTACAAACTCAAATAGATGCAGATTTGTCTCATTTGTTAACCACTCATCATTTTGTCTGTTATTTCAAGCTCATTCCTCAGAAAAATTGTGGTCTGCTAACTGCTGCTATAGTATCATTGATGGTTTCCAATTGTTTGTCTTATTATCGTATTTGACTACGATACCGGAAAGACAGGATACCCGAAAAGTTTGTAACAAATCAATTGGTTTCATAAAAGCGGTAATCAATGAGGAGGTATTTATAAAAAATTCACATGGGGATTTTGATGATCGGTCAATTGGTATCATATCTTTCCGGCACCATAGATTTTCTTTTGTTTTGTTCATTTATTAAATGCCCCTATAAATTTTATGGATTTACTAAAATTTACTCTATAGTTTGCATTTTACTAAAGCACTCCCCATAGTTAGCAATCGATTACTTTCAATAGATGATAGTGAAAATGACAGTTTTGACCCTAATGCTTATTTGAATAAATTTAATCAATAGAAAATAAAATTTAAAATATTATTTTTGTCCCTAAATACAAACAATCACTTTATTTGGCTCTATTTGGTTAATTTTATTTAATGTTAGGAGTATTTTTTGAACAACCAATCATGAGATGATAAAACAAACACTTTTGGATAGATCAATTAAGTAAATAGGTTGCAAAGTATAGGGTGTTTAAAATAAATGAAATGAAAACTATACCATAGGTTTGTGAAGGGGTATTTTAGTAAATGATCACTTCTTATAAACTTGTTAAGGCTTAATTTGGAAAGAGTACAAATACAAATATTTGCACTCTATGTATTTATATTTGTACTCGTTCCAAACTGAACTTAAGGTTGCATTTGTTTTAGCTTTTTAGGTTGTGTTTGTTTTTGGTATAAATATTTGTCCATGTAAACGTGTAAACATTGTACTTCAACACCCATTGGTTTAAATGAGTGAACTGTTGTAAAGTGAAAAGGTATAAAGGGTTGTTCACCTCATGCACGCCAATTGCCCAAGTTGTTAATGACTATTGTTTAATGGTTTTCAGAATTGGATGAGCTACCCATTGTATTACCCATGAAGGGAGTAAGCGAAACTTTCTTTAATTTTCTCTGTTTCTTTCTCCAATCGTAAGTTGTTGATGTTATTTACTTCTCTTTCATTATGCGGTACCTGCGAGATCTTTCTTCTTGTTTCTGGTCCTAATTTTTGTAGTTTAGGTTTAATAGATTGTAGAGAAGAGGGAGAACGCCATGTCCGGCACTAGTAAAAAAAATACTGCCAAAAATGCGGCCACAAACAAAGTACGGACGAGTACTATCGAGGGAAATCCTCAAAAATATGTATTGGGTCAACAAAACCGATTACTTCCTAATAAACACAGCAAAGTATGTGAGAAACATCAAGAAAAGACGGAATGTGAAGTTACAGGCGCAATCCCAGAGGGCAGCGTCATGAAAATTGAATCTAAGTACGGGGTAAAATGGACTCTTCAGTGTCCATCTTTAATGGGGACAGTTGGCAATCGGTCAGTTCAAATTTCAAATGAAAGGGACTGACTAGTTACATCTTACATGGGAAAAATAACTACGGAAATTCTAAAAATAATCTTAATAAAAACAAGGGAGAATGACTGTTCAGCCCATCTCAGAATTCTTAGCCCAACATTCAGGTGGGATGAATYCTGACCGTGGATTGATGCTAAATCCACGGGAAGGATGTGATTTATAGGAGGGGTTATTAATAGACTATGGAGGGCTTTAATTTCAGAATTCTGAAGTGGGATGCAATGTACTTCTCGGTAAAAAGAATCCCTTATTAATGAGACCGGAAAACAACTATGTTGGCCTGCCGTCCTTGTTAAAAATAAAAATAAAAGCAGAGACCCCTCTAGTGCATGCACTCACCATGCAGAGAGCGGCTCAATAAAAGCCGAAGACAACCACGTAATAAGGATATGCCATGCATGGAGCCCAAAGGGTGATAAACCTATGCAAAAAACTATGGGAAGACTATCTGGAAAAAGGATAGTAAGGAAGATAACAAAAGGGAGCTGAAAGGTGGAATCAGAAAGAATCAAATGGATAATACACTTGCCACAGATCCTAGACCAGATGAGGACAAAAAACTCATTGAACGAGATGGAAGGTAAAAAAATCATAAGGAGCTCTTAAATAGTGGGGAAAATCTATGATATGGAAAGAGTTTTGACCAATCAAAACCCACCCATGAATTTTGATAAATAACACATGATTCACTATCAAGTCTATGATTTCAGTTGATTGGTCAGGTGTTTTTTGGATATCATATCTTTTCCATATCATAGTTGAACCCTAAATAGTGACAAAAAAAGTATAATAAAGGATATGGGGGAGGCTGTGACACTCCAAAATAATGATAATTCAAGTTTGAAAGTGCAAGAAGCAAATACTCAGGGAAGAAGTGTAAGAAATGGTGATAATCTCTTAAACCTAGTAGAGAAACTAATAACCAATAAAGCTGGGAAGACTAGTGAAATAAGTAAACCCAAAGATTTGACTACACTACAGGATAAGTGGGTGGAAATTGAACACTACAAGGACTTGTTAATTAACGAAATTCAAGATGAGTCTGATGCTTTTTATGGAAAGAAATGGGCCAAAAAGGTAAAATGAAACACTATCAAGGATTTAAATGAAAACCTAATGGGAAGTACTGTGTGGAGCAGTAACTCGAGTCAGTAAAGAAACACTTGAAAGTATTCCTAAAGAAGATAATCTAGTTGTAAAGGAAAATTCTAATATCAGTAAGATTAATTTGCAGAAGGAAAACCACAGTTTCCAAAACAAATCTACCATGGGACATAAAGGATCATACAAGAAAAATAAAAAATTTAAAAATTGGGAGGGATCAATTGAATGGAAGGATCAATAGACTAGTGGAATGGATATAAATATGAATCTTCAAAGTTCAGGAGACCACAGTGATCAAGGAGGATTATCATGGGATTGTGATTCTTTACCAATAAAGAAAAGATCCTCTTCCTTAGTATTCAATACTCTCAAAGAACCATTAAACCTAAAAGCTTAAGCTGTTATGTGAGGTCCTTGAATAGGTTTTATTCACTAAAATGCCCCTTCACACGAAAACCCATTGGGCTTGAAGCGTGGATAGCATAGGCCCACACATACCTTGTGCTAAAACTTAATTAATTATAATGGGGTGACAAGAATTGAACACTAGACCACTTGGTCAAAGTTATTTTGATACCATCTCAAATAACCATTCAACCTAAAAACTTAAACTATTAAATTAGGCCCTTGAATATGTTTTATTCTCTAACAAATACTGAGTTGGTCAAAAAATCTCTCATTACTGGTAATCAACCAATAAAGTCAATTATAAGACTACTGAGTTTGAGAATGGCCAACTATCAACCTTAAATGAAGCCAAAGTAGATATTATAAATAGTGAAGAGTGCAATATGAGTGACTGTGTAAATCTGAGTGCTCCACAATGGTGAGTTCTATCCAAAAACTTACTACGAAGTTTTAAATCTTAGCATGGTTGAGTCGAGCAGCTCAAGCAAGGTTAGGAGAATTTTGAGTAACATGTTCCTCAAGGAAGCTGGAAGAAATAATGTAGAAGAAAAGAATAATAAGGTAATCAACAAAGATTCGTGGAAGAGGGATGAAAGCATGAATTTGGACCTATCAAGCAATAATGAAGACGAGAACAAAGAGAGAATTGAATACGCACGCCAAAGTTCTGGGAGAGTCATTATCAGTGGAAGTCATAACAACCAAAGTAGCCACAATGTAAAAGTTACAAAAATAGGTGGACATTCAGAGCATAGGTAATGGTTTCTTCCTCATCACCTTTGAATCTAAGGAAGATTATAATTACATTCTAGAGGAAGGACCTTGGTTTGTTAGTGGAGGTATTTAGTCCTTATGAAAGGGAGAATAGGGCTCAACCCCCTCATGGCTACTATAGATGAAGCCAGCATTTGGGTGCGCCTGTTGGGTCTCCTTATGGAATGTTGGACAAAAAAAGTCTGAGTAATGTACTCAGACAGGTGTGTCCAGTAGTAAGATTGGATAAAAACATTGAGAAGAAATTTCGACTTATATTTCCTAGAGTTTGCGTAATGGTTAACCTCAGGAGGCCGTTAGTCCTTGAGATTCCTGTTACTACATGAGGGGTGGAACACACTCTTACCATAATGTATGAAAACATTAGTGACTTATGCATCAGGTGTGGTTTCGTGGCCTCGTGGGCCATAAGTCTTATAATTGTCCTAAGATCATAGGGGATGGTTGGACTGGGACGAAAAGTGTAAGAAATTCTCAACAAAAAGACCCAAATTTGGAAAGAATGTAGACACCCGAATTGATAGCAAATATCACAAGGCTTCATGGTTCAATAGAACCAAGACTAATATAGTTTCCAAAGCCAAAGCTTTAGCCAAAATCAAAATGATTAGGCCTGGATGTACTTCTTTGGTGCCCATTCAAAATGAACTCTTATGGGTTAAAAAAAGGCAACAAACCACTCGGTTAATTACTCTACTCCCAGTCTCGACAACTCAGGTAAGAATAGAGAAAATGAGCTCAGTAAGGAGGAAAGGCATAATGATGATGAAGATGAAGAATTGGAGGATATTGAGGATGAAGATGATGATCTCAACATGGACCATGATGCTAATGCAGTCATGATGGACAAGTTATGGGAAAAACAGGAAGATAAGCAAAACAAAGTAGATGCTCTTGTTTCTACATTCCCGCGAGCCTCTACTTTAGATAGTCGTGACAAAGAAAAAAAGAAATTACTCCCAATGGACGAAATGTATTCATCTAATCTCCCCAACAATGAAATCATGAACGAAAATGCTACCATGGAATGTTAGGGGTGGAGGGAGACCGACCCTACGACAACAAGTCAAGGACCAAGTTCGTTATAATCAAATTGCTATTGTTGCATAACTTGAAACTAAAATCCAGTCTTTTGATGTTGGTAATTTTGCAAGTAACCAGAATTTGTTGGTCATGCATCTTCATTTATGCTTTGCCAAACAAGCATAACCAGAATTTGGCATGGAAAATTTTGAAAGATATAAGCAAAACAAGCAACCTACCATGGACTGTAGTGGGTGATTTTAATGCTATAAGAAGCCCAAATGAAAAATCTGGAGGTAGGGCGGCTAATAAAAAAATATGAGTGAGTTTAATGAACTTATCAATGACTATCAACTTATGGATTTATAAATGAGAGGATTGAAATTCACCTGGAAGAATAATTATATTTATGAAAAACTAGATAGAACATTGATCACTAAGGGGTGGTTGGACCTATACCCACATGCGTACAACGAAAACCTTCCATTCCTAAACTCGAATCATACTTCGGTGATGGTTCACCTAGGTAATTGGATCAACTATGAACCTAAACCCTTCAGGTTCGAAAACATGTGGGCTTCGAGAGAGGATTTAATTCAAGTAATTGAAGAAGCATGGAACCAAAGAGATAATGGATCTAAGGGGTACCAATTCTTAGCCAAAACTAATTGTACGATTATGGAAATAAAGAAGTGGAATAGGATAAAATTTGGGAATATGCATGAAAAAATGAAGAATTTAATGGAGCAAATAAAACTGGCTCAAGAAAAAAAATATAGAAAAATCCGGGAAGAAGAAACATCTACAACAGAGAACGAGTTATTCAAAAATAGTTAAAGTACTTAGAATGGAAGAAATATATTGGGCACAAAAATCAAGAGTTGATTGGCTAAAATGTGGGGATAAAAACACCAAAATTTTTCATACTTCTACTCTTATTAGAAGGAACTGAAAAAGAATTTTGAAAGGGATAATAATGGCAATATTATTGAAGGAGTCAAGGAAATAAATGATTGTTTTGTAGGAAAGTTTATGGAAAGGTATCAAAGAGGACAGACAAATAATATAGATTTGTGTCTAAATGGGTTGGAAAGGAGAATAAATGAAGATCAAAATAAAATGATAATAAGAGAGGTCTCATCTGAAGAAATTTGGAATGTGATTCAATTAATGGGAGATTCTAAGTCACCGGGACCAAATGGACTGGATGCATACTTTTTCATAAAATATTGGTAAATTATTGGCAACTCTGTTGAAGACACAATCAAAGTGTTCTTTCATTCAAGAAAATGACTAAGGGTATTAACAAAACATTCATTACTCTTATTCCAAAATCTGACAGCCCTGATATGGTGGACAAATTTAGGCCGATTAACCTCTGCAACACAATTTATAAAATCATAGCAAAAATCCTAGTAAATAGACTGAAACCAATCCTTGGAGGCATAATTGCCCCTTTCAGAAGTGTCTTCATGCCAAGACAGCAAATTATTGACAATATTCTGATTGCCCATGAAATGATGAACTCAATGAAGAAGAAGAAGGGAAAATATGGGATTTTGGCATGTAAAATAAACATGGAAAAAGCATATGATAAATTGGAGTGGAATTTCATTGATAAAGTACTTAAAAATGGGTTTTCACCACAAAATGGATAAAATGGATCATGCAATGCATAACTATGGTTTCTTACCAAATCCTAGTTAATGGATCCCCAACAAAATCATTCAAGTCGGAAAGGGGTGTCAGGCAGGGAGACCCTCTCTCCCCATATATTTCTGTCTTATGTAGTGAGGTGTTCTGCAATATGATATGCAGCAAGAACCCACAAGGGGGAACTCAACTGGGATTCAAACCTTCCAGAAATAGGCATAATATTCCTATACTCCAATTTGCAGACGACTTCATTATCTTTGCTAAGGTTAATCTAAACAATGCAGAAAAGATAAAGGAAATAATGGAAATATATGCAGAGGCTTCTGGCCAATGCCCAAAATTTTCAAAGTCTACCATATTCTTTTCTTCTAATACCCACAATAGATTTAGAAGGGTGATTTCAAGAATTTTGAAAATCCCGATGGGAAGGAAAAAAAGAGAAGTACTTGGGTGCTCCCATAATTGAGAGTAGGGTGACAAAGGAGGCTTTTAAAGAAGAGGAAAGGATAAATAAGAAGTTAGCAGGATGGAAGAGAATCACATTATCAGTTGTTGGTAGAGTTACCTTGCTTAGACCTACAATTAATATGATGCCTCAATATTTAATGAGGGTGTTTAAATTCCCCCCAAAAATGTAGTGGAAAATATTGAAAGAAAGCAAAAAAAAAAAAATTGTGGAACAAAGGAAAAAGTAAAGGTCGTAACCTTCTTAAATGGGAGCTAATTTGCCATTCGAAAAGAAATGGGGGATGGGGTTTAAAAAATTTCAAATGGGCAAGAAGCTTGGAAACTTCTTACCCAACCTGAAAATTTATGGGTCCAAATTATGATATATATATATATATATATATATATATATATATATATATAATGGAAATTTCTAGCTAATTAGGGCAAAAAAATCGATTTCTTGGACTTGGAGAAGCATCCTCCATTTCCGAGATATTCTAAAGAAAGAGATGAGATGGCAATTTGGGAATGGAAAATCCATAAAGTTTTGGACGGACAAGTGGTTTGGAGAAAGAGCTTTAGTAAATGAGGATCCGGACTCTCATTCTAATCTACTTAATACAGTGAATGAATTTATCTCCAATTCAAATTCATGGAACAAGGAAAAAATCTTGAGTAAGGTAAGCCTCAGGCAATGGGACTAAATCAGAGCAGTCCCAATTCCATCAAGGGATACTAAGGATAGGATAATTTGGAAATTTAGTCCAAACGGTGAGTATTCCATTAAATCGACCTACACTCTCCTTGAGGGTACCCTAAGTGATAATGCAAAATGTTAAGAGATTAAGCAAAATCTAGAAACTGAAAATGCCCCCTCCCCCTCCTCCCAATGTTCAGTACTTCATGTACTGAATGTCAGCATCGTAGTTAAAAAATCTAGATCTTGTTGATAATGTTGACTACTCTTTTTGTGGAAATGAGGAACATCTAAAACACTTCCTTCACAATTGTGAAGAGGTCAAGCAATTGTGGCAAAAATGTAGCGAATGTTGGTGGGATAGTATTGCAAGTATTGAATGTTGGTGGGATAGTATTGCAAGTGATGATCCAAAACATAACCCAAAGCTTTCTCTAGAAAAAGCTAACTTAATCATGTTCAACTTATGGAGAAGGCAGAATAACAATGTTTTTAATAACAAAAACCTTCCCATGGATCAAGTATTTAGTAAAGTCAAAGGAGATTTTGATGAATACTTAGTTGCTTGTCAACCATTACCCTCAACCAATCGGGTGGGGAAGAGGGATAATTTAATCAGATGGACCTCGCCAAATAATGGTTGGGTCAAGCTCAATTTTGACGCCACCTCTAGAAATCAAGATGGAATCTCAGCTGTTGGAGTTATTACGAGGGATGAATGGGGTTAAATTTTATGGGTGACTTGTAGAAACATTGGAGAATGCTCGATAAATGAGGCAGAATCATGGGCAACTCTTGAAGCCCACCACATTGCATCCAAATTTCCTGAGAACAAATATATCATAGAAGGGGATTCTCATGAATGTTTGGAACTTATGCAATATCATCAATGAATGTCAGCATCTGAGACTCAAGTTTGAGATAAACATCTCATATTCTCATGCGTTTAGGAAAGCAATTTTTGCAGCTGATCGCTTGGCAAGCTTGGGTCACATGTAATCCTTCTTTGGTTCGAGGCTCGAAGATCATCTCTTCAACTACACTTGTTTTTGTGATGCTTGGGGTCATTTTACTAATCATCATGCTTCTTTTTAGTGTTTGTATGCTTCTATTTTTAGTTATTTGTTTCCTCCCAACTGTAAAAAAATGGGTATAATTATTCATGTAAATAGTTGCATCAATTTTGTCAATATTAGATTTACATCGATTATGGATGTAAAATTTTGCCATGGGTTGAATTTGTATCAATTTTTATGTAAAACTACATTCAAAACAAGAACGACAAACCATGAGTGAAGTTTTGCACCGGTTTGTATTTACACCCCGACTTCCAAGGGCTACAAACATTGTATCAGTTTACAATTACACTACACCATGATACGGTAGTTCAATTAGCCGTGATTCATCGTGCAACGCCAGAGACCGTCCGATGGAAAAGTTGAGGAGTTAAGTTTTCAGTCCGAGGCCCCTCAACTTCGTAGAACAACATACTCCTCCCATTCCCGTATTTATTCGTGTATTATATTATCAACCTTCAACTTGAAGTCTACACTCTACTGTGAACATCTCTGTCTCCATCTTCGGCTCTACTCATTCGCGAAACAGAGTAGGGGTCTCGGTAAGGCGTTGCCGGGGAATTTTTTTTTTTTTTTCTCTCTCGGCTCCTCTTTATTTATTTATTTTTTGTTTCCTTCCTCTCTTTTTCTTCTGGATGTTATTTATTTCTTTATTTCTAATGCAGGAAAAAGGGGGAAGATGGGAGCTGGTCGTGAGGTTCTGATCTCTTTGGATGGAGTGAGAGACAAGAACTTGATGCAGCTGAAGAAGCTCAACACGGCTCTCTTCCCTGTTCGCTACAATGATAAATATTATGCGGATGCCCTCGCTTCTGGCAAATTTACGAAACTAGGTCTGAATACTCTCATTTTTCCCTTTTGTTTTTCTAACTCGCCGCTGATAATCCAGTTAGCTGCATCCTCATCGTTCTAATGTTCTTTGTGGGTTGCATTCTAGATGTTAGGGTTCTTTTTTGTGCAATGGATGCTTCGACTTTGAGGGGGATTGGTTGGTGGTTTATAGTTGACCCATTAATGGGTATCCTCTGTTTTGGTGAAATGATGATGGGTTTTTGGTTTTCTTTTTTTAAGTCTTGGTGGTTTTCGAATCTGAACATCGTTTCTTTGAATCCTGTGATCTGCTAATTCGTTGGCAGGTAGAGTGGCAAGGAGTGGAGAGGAGTGAGCTTTATTGGGGTATAAGCCACACGGGGTAGATTGTGGTATCTGTTCTACCGTTTTTGTTGGTTTGAGGTTTTTGGCCTTCGTTCTTGATCATCTGGTTCTGATGGTCTTGTGTTCTATGTTTGATCTCAAACGAAGTTTTATTGTCATCGATGATAAAAAGAGTTACTTAAGTAATTGCTTTTAAGATGCATATAGATTCTCTATAATCATGTAAGTGCTGATAGTATCGTTCTTGAAAAAACATCTTCCTTTGTGTCCAGCATATTACAGTGACATTTGTGTTGGTTCAATCGCATGCCGCCTTGAGAAGAAAGAAAGCAGTGTTCGTGTTTACATCATGACGCTGGGTGTTTTGGCCCCATATCGTGGTCTAGGGGTAGGTAAGTTCACAACATATATTTTACCCTTTCTACTTTCATTTTCTGGACTATGCACCTTTTTTCTAGCACCAGAGTCATAGATTTCTTTACTACTACTCGTAGATGTATATTTTTTATAAAAAAATGTTCAAACTTGTTTTTTTTTTTTGAGCAAAGGTGAATTGTATTTATCAGAACAGGAGACTTGACTCAACTTAACTGAGTTTGTTTAAGCTGTTTTGTGTTTGTTTCTCCTCAAGATATTTGAGGATAGGTTGATTCCTTTTTGCCCCTTTGTTAACAAAGATTTTGTTAATTGTATAACAAAAATTACAAGTACAAGAGGGGAAGACATAGGGGCGATTGCTTGGTGCAATAGTAAAACCTTGGGTTGATAAGCACGACAATGCTGGTTTGAGTCTGTCTGAGAGCAGCCACTTCATGCTAAAGTTGAGAAGGTTAGGTCCATGTCCAGCCCACCCCACCCAAGACCCTTGATAACCAAGACCAGCATTGGGTAATGCCATTTATAAGAGGGGAAGACATCTTTAATATACAGTCAAAATGAACTGTAGAATTTCCATCCTTTAAAACTGTTTAGATTACTACTAACTTGACAAGATATAGAGATCATTGCTTGGTGCAACAGTAAAGCCTTGGTCTGACAAACATGGGAACACAGGTTTGAACCTGAGAGTGGCCACTACATGTTAAAGTGCTGGTGGTTAGATCCATATTCAGTCCACCACAGCACCACGACCAAGACCGGCATTGTGTAATGGAAATTCTATGATTTTCACTGTCAGATAAACCATAGAATTTCCATGACCTACTTTCTGAATTAGATATATACTACCTCATGAAAAACCTGAAAGATCGAGAATTTGAGTTCTTTAAGTTCATTGAAAACGGACTAATCATAATAAGCAGCTTTTCAGCACATGTTCTCAAAGAGGACCGCCATTTTTCTTTAAACTATCAACTCTCCGTAGAAATGGCAGAAGGAACTATCCTCCAAAGCATGGAACACATAACTCAAGAGCACAAGTTCAAGGGAGGACCCCATGGGATATTTAGGTCACATTAGAACATCTCTGAAAGAAATACCAAATATCATTATCAATTCATACTGAAGAAATGGTTTCAATTTCTCCCATTGCCACATACACCAATTTGCTTATTGAGAACCCCTGATCCTCTGGTTGATCAAATGTTTCTGTGAAGCATTACAATACAAACAAAAGCTTTACCATCAGGACCATGCTTCTCCAAATCCACTCAGGAAGTTGAAAAGAAATCGGTCTAGCAGCTAACCAGAAAACCATATGGTGAGCTTACTTAACAGAGGCCTTCTGCAGAACCTGCACCATTCTATAAAGCTTAATGTTGAAGCTTCAGAAGCATTTATCAAAAAAAAATGTTGATGCTTCACAGTCAATGTGAGATTATACTTTGGTTTTTCTTTAATAAAAGTATCTAAAACTGGGTTTGAAACTTTTGAGTTCTATCTTTCTTGAACTTCGATACTTTGGTAAAGTCTGGGGGAGTTAAACCCAAGATGTACTGATTTATCAAAAAAAAAAAAAGAAAAGAAAAGAAAACCAAGATGTACTGGCCCCAGAACCTTTGATCTAGCTATTTTGGTAGTTGGGAGCTCAATAGATTAGCCCATGGGTATTGTTTTATGGAATTGTATGCATTGTCATCAATTTATAGTTTTATACTGTGCAATCCATGGACTTCAAAAATCAAATAGGAGTTTAAGGCTAAAGATAGCTTGTTCTCATTTAGCAACTTTTTGCACAATTTAATACGTATGTGCTTCTCTCTCTCTCTCTTTTAATTTTTGGCCATCAAAATGCCTTTTTTCATGGATCACGGAGATTTTTAAACAATTGAATATTTTGGGCTGCCAAAGATTTTTTTTTGATCAATAACAATTTCAGTAATTTTATTAAAATATGATAGGAATAGTTACATCAAGGAAGACAAACTCTCTTATCTTCCAAAGACAACTTAAGTCCTCAAAGAAAGAAAGGAAAAAAGAAGCAAATTAGTTACAACTTATCCCAAAACATTACATCCATTTCTATCCCCTGTTTAGCTAGCCCATCAGCTATAGAGTTAGCTGATCTTTTAACCCAACTCATCCTGATTTCCATTTCCCGCACCAGCCACTTGAACTTTCTTTTCTCATTGTTGTACTTCCATAATCCACAGTTGTCTTTCCTCAGCCACCCTATGACCACCTCCGAGTCCCCTTCAATTATGAGTTTTCTAACATCCATTTCCTTAGCTTTTTGAACACCTTCCATAACTGCCAAGATCTCAGCTCTAAGAGAGTCCCCCGCTCCAATTGGACCTGAGAACATGGCTGAAATGACCCCATTCTCATCCCTAAAAACACCCCCAATCCCTGATTGTCCAGGATTACCCCTACAATTCCCATCAAAGTTCAGTTTTAGGAATCCAGTAGTCTGTGAATAACTCTAAAGATTTCAGCCACTGTATAGCCTTGATATGAATCACAGCCCTCAATTCTTCAGCCCTCCCTCCTTATTTGAAAAGATTCTAAGATTTCTTTCTTCCCATAAGGACCAACATACTGCAGCCCTCAGTCCTCTCCACATTGTCCTTCCCCTTTTCACGCGCCACCTGAACAAAGAAGGAGAAAATAGGCTCTGCAAATCTGATGGAGGGTTTTACCTGCGCCTAAAGAGAGAAAAAGCCCATTCCCAAATTGACTTTGCAAATTGGCACGACACCAGTAAGTGAAAACCAGTCTCCCTATCCGTTTTGCATGGAACACACCAATGAAGTGATAAGCATGTATTGGGTCTCTTCTTTTGAAGCAAGTCACCAGTATTGAATCTTTCCAGAAAGGCTTCCCAACAAAAACTACCAACCCTAGGAGAGATTGGTCTGCACCAAACCTCATTAACTGGGAAAGGAGAGGTTGCGGGATTGGTGGACTGACATAAGACTCTGAAAAAGGAAGCACATGAAAAAGAACCCATGGGAGTCGGGGTCCAAGTTCTAGAGTCCACCTTTGAGGGGTCAATGAAGACATTATCAAGGAGGTCAGGAAAGCTCAAGACGCTGTGGAAGTCAGAGTCCCTCACAACCCTCCTCAATCCCAGGTTCCACCCAAACTTAGAACTGGAGGATGAAGGGGTGATGAAAAAAGAAATTGGCTTATTTTTAAACTTAGAGAGGGCATGCAGGGAGGGAAACAAGTCCTTAAAAGGAGCATTCCCCACCCAAGTTTGTTCCCAAAATTTAATGCAAGTGCCAGAGTTCAAATCATACTTGGCCAGTAGGGAAAAGATTGGAAGCAAATTATGAATGGCTTTCCAAGGTGAGTTGCTTGTGGTCCTTGCTCTGATTCCAGCATCCCATCCATTTTGCTCCATCCCACGTATGCTTGCCACTATCCTAGCCCATAGCTTCTCCTGCTCCAAAGGAAACCTCCGCAACCATTTTCCTAAGAGGGTCGAGTTCCTTTTCCCAATATTCCTGAGCCCCAAACCTCCACAAGCTTTGCTCTTGGTCACCATTTTCCAGCTAACTCTATGGTCCCTCTTCTCCTCTCCCGGCTCCCAAAGGAAATCTCTCCAACCTATTGGAAACCTTCATTGGAATTTTGAACACTGAAAGGAGATGGATAGGTAAGTTTGCAAGCGTGGCCTTGATCAATGTGGTCCTTCCACCAAGGGAGAGATAATTCTTTTTCCAAGAAGCAAGTTTTTTTTTCAAACCTCGTCACCACTAGGCTCCACAAACTCTCTCTCTTGGGGTTGTCCCCTAGGGGCAAACCTAAGTAACTCAACGGCCAACCCGAGACTTCACACCCAAGCACTTCTGCAATCTCCCTAACCTCTCCCTCCTCCATATTCACACCCACAACACAACTTTTCCTGAAGTTCACTTTTAAGTTTGACATTTGCTCAAAAAGTTGAATCACTAACTTCAAATTCCTAATGAACCTCACATTACCTCCTTCACAAAACAAGATTGCATCATCAGCAAACTATAAGTGAGTGAGTGGGATGTCCTCCCTACCAACCCTCCACCCTCTAATCAGGCCCCTAGAGTCTACTCTGTGGATCAACCTTCCCAACACATCAGCAACAAGTAGGAACGGAAAAGGGGATAGGGGGTCACCCTGTCTTATACCCCTAGTGGCTGGGAAAAAATCTACCACTGCCCCATTCACTAAAATTGAATAATGACAATTCCGAACACACCCCATGATCCATTTACACCATCTAGCCCCAAGCCCCAATTTGGTCATGATTTTCCTCAAAAATTCTCAATCCACCATGTTATATCTTCTCCAAATCCAATTTACACACCACTCCCTTCTTATTATCCTTCATGAAACTCTCCACACTCTCATTGGCAATGAGGATTTGATCTATAATCTGTCTTCCACTCACAAAGGCACCCTGATTTTGTTCAATTAAGTTTGGCAAAACCTTCTTTAGTCTCAAAGATAATACATTTGCAATGATCTTATATAGGCTATTGACCAGACTAATTGGTCTGAAGTCCCTTGGGTGTGAGGCTTCATTCTTTTTGGGAATCAGAGCAATGAAAGTGGAATTCATCCCCAAATTAGTAATTCCTCACCTATGAAACTCCTCAAAAACCTGTAGAAGGTCCTCTTTCAGAATATATCCCAAAAATCCTGATAGAAAGCCGTTGTAAAACCATCCGGCCATGGAGCTTTTGTTCTATCCATAGAAAAAACTGCTTCCTTAATCTCTTCCAAGTCAAACCCCCTCTCCAAACTTCTCCTGTTGTCCCCCCCCCCCTACATCTGGCCAGTCTAATCCCTCCACCCACATCCTTCTACTTACAAGCCTTCTCAAAATGGATTTAAAATGTTCTACACATGCCCCAACAATCTCCTCTTGTTGAGTTAATTCAATTCCATCCACAACTAGCTTGGAAATGTAGTTTCTCCTTCTCCATCCATCAACCAAAGAGTGAAAGTACCTAGTGTTTATGTCCCTCTT